CAAGAAGGAGCAGTTAGCTGATGCCAGGAGAGAACTGAAAAGCGCCAAAGCTGATGCCAAGGTCCGGAGGGATGAGAAGTCTAAAAAGTAAGGCTGGTCCTACTAGGCTGTGCAATGCTCCCAGCACCTCCAGCTCAAAATGGGTGCTTCAGCCCTCTGTTCTGTTTCCCCAGCCTGTGATCCAATTGATTTGGGAAGACTTTCTCAAGCTTTCTTATCCCCTCTTTCTTCTGTGCATGAAGAAATGGCCTTCAAGCCATCTGTGCTCTGCAGAGTAGTCACAGGGCTGCTGGGTTAAGGGAGCTCTGAAAGCAGAATCCAACATGACTATTACAGAGGGATAGGTGGGTTGGTTTTAAAGTGGGTGTAGCATCAGTGTAGTTGAGGCTGTTGCTTCCAACCCTTTAAAACAAAACTACTGCTTAGGATTTCTGTGCTGCATCTTTCAAAATGTCGGTTCTTAATTGCATGTGCTGAGTGTTTTGTGTCACCATCTGTGCTGACACAACTGCCTTTTGAGGCTGGTAGCATTGCTTACGTGGAGCAGAGTCCCTTTGCCTTCCCACAACACTGCTGCCTGAAGCCCAGCAGGTCATTAGGCATTAACTATTTTTTCCTCCCTCACCCCAGGGCAGTGGAGAGCAAGAAAAAAGCAGTGCAGAGGATTGAGGAGCAGCTGATGAAGCTGGAGGTTCAGGCTACAGATAGGGAGGAGAACAAGCAGATCGCCTTGAGCACCTCCAAACTCAACTATCTGGATCCTAGGATCTCTGTTGCTTGGTAAGTGCCTGCCCTGGGCTGTGCAGAACTGCATCTTCACGTGCATGTAATCCCACTGTCTGTAGGCAAGGGCTGTGGCTGAGAGCAGTGCCCCTGGGCTGCCAAGGAGGTCTGACTCTTTGTGGCCTTCTCTTCTGTCTCCACATGCTTTGGGGAAGTTTTCAGTGGATCTCTTGGGTCAGGTGCCACATGCCAGTCGTAGCCAGCACTGTGCTGGGAGGTGATGGCTCAGATTGTGCAGGGTGCAGCAGTGGAAGGCTGGTCCTGCCTGGTGGCTGCGTGTCCTGTAACGGAGCTGAGCTAGGGAAGTGCTGGGGAGGGTTCTGCTGCACCACAAGGCTTTGGGAACCCGTGCTGGGCTGACACTTAACGGCATCTCTTCTTCTGCAGGTGTAAGAAGTGGGGAATTCCTATAGAGAAGATATATAACAAAACCCAGCGAGAGAAATTTGCCTGGGCTATCGACATGGCAGAGGAAGACTATGAGTTTTAACCTGTTTTTAATGAGATGAATGTTATGGGAATAAAAGGGGGAGTAGCCTGGTTTTTAGGAAGATTGATAAACTGTGAGCCTTACTTGTCCTTGGATGCTGGGGAGGGGGGAGAAAAGGGGCAAGTGAGCATGGGATAAAACAGCCAACATCTTGTAGAAAGCATAACCTGGAAATATCCTAAAGGAGCTGAGCCAGTTGTCCTATGGACAACTTATTTAAAAATGTTTCAGAGATCCAAATTCTAGCTGTCTGGTTTGTGTGGTTTTTCTCTTGAGGCAGAGCAAGTGGATGGAGGATTTGTCAACCTTCCGCCAGGCAAATTCACCATCACACTGAGAGCGTGGGAATCTTTAGCTACTGTATACAAAATCCAATTATATTGGTGCGTTTTTACAGTTAGGGTTTTGCAATAACTTCTATATTTTAATAGAAAATGGACTCCTTAACCCCTGCCCTTCCCCCGCCCCATTTCAGAATCTAACAGATCCGATTGAAGAAACCCAACGCACCTGTTACAGCTGTCACTTACAGTCATGGAACTATCCGAGATTATTATTTTTTTTTAATTGTCACCTGAAACGGTCGTGGCATTGGAACATAAATAACAAATATCCACCGCATCCGTCGGAAGCAGAGCGTGATGGGAAATGGAAACGGCCCCCCCGCCTTGTGTGCGTTCCTTTTGTTTTGTTTTTAAATGTGAATTTTTATTTCTTTTAATTATTTTAAAATATTTAAGCCGTTTTTCTTTCCTTCTTCTTGATCTCAAAGATCACGTCGATGTGGGGGGGGGGGGGGGGCTGTGCTTTGGGATCCCAGCACAAATGCAGCGGGCAGCGAATGCCGTTCCCGTCACGCCTTGCAGTGAACGCGCTCTGTACACTTCAAGAATATTTCCTTTTAGGTTTGTCAGACTGTTTTACCTTCCCCCCCCCCACACCCCCTCCCCCTTTTTTTTTTTCTAAGCCCCCTCTCTTTTACTTGAAAGATTTTATTGTGTAAAAAGAAGTTTCACAGGTCAAAAATTTCGAGGGAAATGAGCATCGGTCCAAAAAAGGAAAATAATCCAGATTTTAGGGCTTTTATTTTTTTTTTTTTTTTTTCCTTTTGTAATTGTGTAAAAAAATTTTAAAAAATTACAAAGCAGAATTTTAATGTGAAACCTTTTTTTGCTATAATCATTAGTTTTAGAGGCATTGTTAGCGTAGTGTGTGTGCGAAGACCATTTCCTGCAGCCTTTCCTCAACAAGTATCTTCTATTTTTATCATGAATTCCCTTTTAATCAACTGTAGGTTATTTAAAATAAATTCCTACGACTTAACTGAGCGTTGGCGTCGGTGTGTTCTTTCACCGAGGGCCCCAGCCCTGCCCCAAGGTCAGCATGCTGTGCTGGAGCGTCCTGGGAGAAGAGGGGCTCAGCCCCCATAGCGGGACGTGGAGCTTTCCTCATCCAAACGGCCACACGAGGTGCTGAGGGATGGCGGGGGCTGGGGTGCACCCAGCAGGCCGAGTTGAGCTGTAGGTGGGTTCACGGAACAATGCAGCACGTGAAAAATCTCTATTTCTGCAGCCTGCCCCAAAGATCTTCCCATCCCACACTGCTGAGCGCTGTGCTGGGGCGGGCAGAGCGCAACGGGGGCTGAGCACACACCTCTCCTCTGGGGGAAACTGAGGCAGCGAGCACTAATGGGACCAGAAAGGGTGAGTTGGCTTGGCACTGCATCTGCTCTGGCAGCCCAAGGAAGGCTGCAAACCCTGCTGGCTGCAGCCCCATCCCCCTACGGCCTCACAGGCTGCAAATTGAAAACAGGTGAGCTGGGAGACAAAAGCAGCCTGCGTTCCTGCAGGGAACTGTTTTGGAGAGCCCAGCAGGAGAAGCTCCGTATTCCCATGGCTTCCATCCTGGGCTACAACAGCCCTAATGCTGCTGTTCACTGGAGACCGTGGGGCTGTTGTCAGTGCTGATCCCTGCCATGGCACACGGCAGTTCCTGGGCTCTCATGTAGGAAGGATGCTGAGCTCAGGCACACGGGGGTGGCTGCAGGGTTTTGCTTCCCCAGCCCTGGAGACCATCTCTGCACTGTGCCTGCTAGAAGAGCTCACCCCACTGCTCAGGGAGCATGGATTTCTTTGAAAGAGCCCAAGGAGAAAAGGCTGTGCTGGGCAGGCAGCAAACAAAAGGGCTTCTGCTCAGGTTCTCCAGTGGCACCTGCAGGGCCTTGGAGCTGGGCAATGTGCTCTGACAGCACAGCCAGACGGGTCTGGGAGCACAGTAATCACTGCCTCTGTTTCTCCCACAGCCATATTACTGCCTAGGTTTGGCCCTCAGAACAATGATATGCCCACAGCACTTTGCTATTTGAGGAGTCCTGGGAGCAGGCTGCTTCCTGCTGGTCCTCAACAGGGATGAATGGGGAGCAGCTTCCTTATGGGACCTGGCATGAAGCTCACGTGGCTGCCTGCCGGCACTGCCCTGTCCATGTAGCACAGGTGGGCCAGGTTTGTATCTCACTCTGTTCATCTTTTCCTGTCCCAAAAATGGGTGAGATGCTGAACTGTGAAACTTGGAGGGCTGCTCTGCACGCGTGTATTTGTCCCTTTGGAGCCTGGTGGAGCGTGAAGACAGAAGCAGCAGCAGTGGGATCTGTTGAATCGTAGAATCCTTTATCCCAAGTTGGAAGGGATCCAAAAGGATCATTGAGTTCAACTCCTGGCTCCTCACAGGCGCACCCAACAATCAGACCATATGTCTGAGATGGTCATCCAGAATGGTGAGCTGGTGCCAGCTTAGCAAGTGGTGCCCTCTGCGGGGTCACCCCTGTGCCAGGCAGCACTCAGACCGCACAGATCACAGAATCATAGAATGTCCTGGGTTGAAAAGGACCACAATGATCATCTCGTTTCAACCCCGCTGCTCTGTGCAGTGTCGCCAACCCCCAGACCAGGCTGCCCAGAGCCACATCCAGCCTGGCCTCAAATGATGCGTGCAGCAAATAGGTATCTACAAACAACCACAGAACTGTACGTGCTATATGGGGGCCTTCGGCAAATCACTGCCCCCCGCTTGCCCTGCTGCTGGTGTTGGGAGCACGCGGCAGCCCCCCACCCCCACGCTCTGCTCCATACCAGGGGACATGGCAACCTATAAGCCCCTCCGCTGCCCCCTCTGCCACGCCGGGCCCCCACACCGCGCGTCCCCCTCATCCCGGGGCAGCTGTTTGGCAGCACACATCTGGCGGCCAGTTGAGCGCGGCTTGGGGGCCGGGCTGGGGGGCCCGGAGGGTTCTGGTGCCGCCACCACCATCATCTGCTTCTCCACGGGCACCCCGAGGCGCTTCCATCCACGCGTGGGTCCGCCTGAAGCGCAGAGCCGCACCTCGGCCCCGGCTCCGCGCGCGCCCCCGGGGACGGCGGCTTCTCCCCGCCCCCCCCGCACGGCGCGGGCCCCACGCGTGGAGGCGCCGTCCTTCGGCCGCGCTCCGCCCCTTCGCTCCTCCTCCTCCTCCTCCCGCAGCTCCCGGCCGCGGGGCGGGCGGGTCGGGGCGCGGCGGCGGTGGCGCTGCGGGCGCTCCGCTCCCCTTTGTTCGCGGCGCAGCGCGGTGCGGGCGGCGGGCGCTGATGGCGGCGGGGCCGGGGGCGCCCAGCGAGGCGGAGGCGGCGCATCTCTGCCGCAGCCTGGAGGTGGGCACCGTCATGACCCTCTTCTACTCCAAAAAGTCGCAGCGGCCCGAGAGGAAAACTTTCCAGGTGAAGCTGGAAACGCGGCAGGTCACCTGGAGCCGTGGCTCCGAGAAGACCGAGGGAGCCGGTGAGTGTGAGCCGAGCCCACCCCCACCCCACAACCACCACCAACCACCACCTCCTCGCCCCGGGAACGCGGCACCGGGCAGGAAAAGCAGGACGAGGTGTTCCTGCTTCCTGCGGGATGGGGGCGGTGGGAGCCTCTCCGCACCCTCCCGCCTCCACTCACCCACTCACACACCCAAAAAAAAAAAGACAAAAGGAACCCAATCTCCCCCCCGCCCCCCCCCAGTCCCCCGGGTTGCTCCGTGCGCATCCCGCGGCGCGGCCGCACGTGACGGTGTCCGGTTTCGGTGCCCCCCCCGGGGCAGCCCGAGCTCCTCCGTGCCGTGCGGTGCGGATCCGTCCCGGCCCCGTGCGGGGTTCGGCCCCGAAAGCTGAACGAGAGCTGCGGGGGCCGCGACTGAGCGCAACAGATGGGATGGAAGGAGCGCAAAGCGGGGCGAAACGCGGCAGCGCGGCTCCCGCCTCCCGCTTAGCCGAGGATGGGGCGTCGGCGGGTTCGGTACCGCCGGGTTCGCTGCGGACCCCGGCAGGGTTGCGGTGGGACACGGTTGGTGGCGGCTCTTTCCCTCACACGGTGCTCTGCGGGGGCAGAGATTTGTCAGAGCTGCTGGAGACCACAGGGAGAGGTGGGAAGGGGAGGAGGGGAGGCCCTCCGCTGGGAAACTTCCGAGTCTGGTGCTGCTTTCCTGGGCTCTGGGCTCTGAGCTCCCATCCCCAACGCTGTGTCTCCCTGCTGACCATCCCATACGTGGATGGCATAATACAGCAGAGCCGTGGCAAGGCCGAACTGCTCTGCAAGTGCTGCAGGCCCAGAGTGGGGAGAGCAGGAGCTCAGAGCCCTGTTGGGTCCTCAGATGAAGGATGGAGGTGTGGTGGTTGCTGTGCTCCTCTGGTGGGACCCCGGAATGCAACTGTCCCAGCTGGAGGCTTTGTTTGAGGCTGTGCCCCGCAGCATCTCCATGCTGCTCTGGAAGGGCTCTGCGGCCATTCGGAGGTGTTGAGCTCCCCACGGAGCTTTCAGGCTCCCTTCTCCCCATGGGCAGACTCCCTGTGCCCTCCAAGGGATCCGTGCTCAGCTGTGCTGGTGATGTGGTTGTGGGGTTCTGCTGCTGTGCCAACAGCCAGGAGCGGGACGGAAAAAGTACAGAGTGCATCCCAGGGACAGAGATGATCAAATAAGAATAATTTTAAAAATCCATAGGTTTTTAGCAAGAGAAAAATGGGGATTGATGAACTCCTACCAGAGGTTCCATCCCTTGCATGCATCCATCCATCCATCCATCCATCCCCATCTGCTGCTGGCACCAGCAGTCCTGTGCTCAGTAGCACAGCATGGCCCACCCCCAGGCTGCAGCCCTCGGTGCCCCCCATGGTGTCCCTCAGCTCCCAGACAGAAGCTGTCCTCCTGCCCTGCTCCTTTGTGAGATGTCCTGGGCAGTACAAGGTGGAAATATCGGTTTGTGTCATTTTCCCCAAGGCCAAGCTGTGCTGGGATGTGAGCAGGAGGCTGGGGGCTGCTCTGTGTGGCAGCACTGGATTGGATGTGACCTGCAATGTGTGTGAGGCACGAAGCAGGCAGCTGGCAGGTGTGCTGTGCCCTGCGTGGAGCGGCGCCTCTACCCCAATGCCTGTGCATCACCAAGTGCTGCCTTCATGGGTTGGGAATGGATGTTTGCTGGGGTATGGAGAGCTGGAGGGAGCTTTAGGTGGTCCTGTGCTTGATTTGTCTGGGTAGGAATCATGCTGGTTTCTGGTTGGTTGCGTATTAGGAAAAGCTTCTTCTCAGAAAGAGTGTTGATGCAGTGGCACAGCTGCCCATGGCGTGCTGGGCTCAGCCTCCCTGGAGTTCAGGAACTGTTGGGATGTGGCTCTGAGGGATGTGGTCAGTGGGTGTGGTGTGATGGGTTGGGGATCTTAGTGGTCTTTTCAAATCTTAATGACCCTTTAGCCCATTTCAGAGTGAGGAAGCAATTACAGGTAACCCAGGGGTCTCAGATTTGGGTCACATCCCTGTCAGGGAGAGTTTCCTTCTCTCAGGACACCGTGCACTCAGCAGCAGTGAGGTTGGGCTGAAGAGATGTGCTCACGGTGGGATGAGCAGCATCAGCACTGGAGCTCTCTGGGGCTGGATACGCACACAGAGGTGCAGGCAAGTCACTGCTAGCATGACCCTGGTTGGGGTGTAGGGATGCAATACCTTGGTACCAGGAGGAGGGGGGACCTGGCTGGGTGACCCCTGTGTAGAGCTTTGTGCATGTCACATAAAGAGTGACCTTGTGTGATGGGCAGCACTCACTGCCCTCGCAGCAGCTCTGACTCAGCAGCGGGCACTGCCAGCTGGGCCGGGATGAAGAACCTCCTCTGTCTGCACGGGCCCATCTCTGCTCCTCGTTAGGCTGCTCCTCGTTAGGCTGCTGGGGCAGGAGGAGGGATTGGCTTGGGCGGGGGGAGCATCTCGCCTGGAAAGTGCTTTTCCAAAACCAACATCGTGTGCAAAAAGAGCAATCTGTGCGCACACGAAAAAGCCATTTGTCCATTAATATTTGTCTTTACGCTGGGTGTTTTCAGCCAGCTCTCATTATCAGCGCATAGCTTTCTTGCTAATAACTCCGCCGAGGGCCGGGCTGTAACGGTGGGAAGAGCTCTAATAATTTTCTGTTCTTTTTGTTAATCACCCACAGCACAACAGAGCCGATCCCCGGAGTCCTTTGTCTTTTATGCACTTTTTTTTTTACTTCCTGTGTTATGTAATTCTTTTTTAATGTAAGAAGGTCCTGCCTTCATAACTCTGCATCCTGGGGGGGTTGCGGGCCGGCTCCTAATTGATCTGTTTTTCTTGAACCGCATCTGAAAACTCAGAGAGTTTGCTCAGAGCACGAGCTGCAAATTTGGAGCAGATGTTTGTTTTATAGGAGAGAGGGGGGGAGGAAGGGGGTAAACACCTCGACAAAGCCCTTGGATGCGTTCTAGTGCTCTGTGAAATGAGCTCAGTCCTGTGGAGGTGGAGAGAAGCCATTGTGGCAGTGCAGGAAGAAGGCAGAACTGTAAAACAGGAACGCAAAGCGACCCCGCAGGGCAGCCCTGCTGTGTCTCGGGGCCAGCAGCGATGCTGTGTGCCTCCCTCCCAGCCTGCTGCACGGGAAGGCTCCTGGGGACATCAGGTCTGGGGACACGTGCCCCCCAGCAGCAGAGCAGCCCCCCCCCAGCTGCTGACCTCTGCTGCCCTTTGCACCGCATCACACGGTGGTCGCTGCTATCAGTGCCAGCACAGCGCCCGCTCAGCCCCATTATCTTATCAGGGCGCCGCCTGCGGCCACCAGCGATGGCCATCGGCGTCCCACGGCCCCTGGAGAGCGGGCGGGCGGCCTGCTGCCTATCTGGCAGATTGCAGGTGGAGGCCAAAAGGCTCCGCTGTGTGCTCTGCAGGAGTCGGTGCTCAGGTCTGCGTGTGGCCGACGTGCTGCAGGAAAGGGCGCAGCCTCCCGTGGGGTTCGGTGGTCCTGGGAACGCGGGCGCTGCTCTTGGGCTGAGATCTGCTCCTCCAGGGAGCTCTTGTCCCCCAGGAGGGGACCCAAGTGACGCTGCCGTGCCGTGATGAGGATGCAGAGTGAGGATGTGGCCCGTCAGGATCGACCGTGGGACAGACTTTGCTTCCTCGAGTGCAGCCATAAGCATCTCCCTGCTGAAAAGGGCTGAACAGGAGTGGAACAGGAGGGCATGTGGTCCAGGGCATCCCTGGGCAAATCTGCCAGCTTCCCTGGGAGCCCAGGCAGGGACTGTGTGTGCCATGTATCTGCTCCTGGGCTACTACAGGCAGTGAGACCTGGTGCGCAGCATGGCATGGCAGGGAGAATGTTCTTGGAAGGTGCTCAGAATGCTTTCAGAAAGTTACACCCCATCCACTCATACCTCTTCCCCTTGGCCTGTTGAATTTGGAGAGCTGACAGTGTGGGGATGCTGTGACAGAGAGAGGTAAGGGCACCTGCCCAGCACAGGGTAAAAGCTGTGTGAGCCAGAGGAAGGTTTGTGTGTTTAACAGAGAGCTGAGGCGATACAAGAATTGCTCACTGCCCGCGGGCTCAGAGTCCTGGGAGCTCTGAGCAAGTTTGATGGGAGGCTGCTGGCTCTCTCTGTGACTGCTGCTGGGTCTCTCATCCCAGTATCACATGTGAGATCGCCTGAATATCTCACATGTGCTCTGTGTGGGGACAGAGCACTGCTGGGTTCACAGCTGCTCACCGCTTCACATCCGTACTGCTGAGGTGCTGGGTTGGGCAGTGCAGGCGGTTCCCTTCCCACAGCTGTCAGAAGGGGAGCAGACTTTCCTCCAGCCTTTGGGCTCGGAGGGTTTTTGTGTTGTGCAGAGCGCTGTGCATCGTGCAAACAGCACTCTTCTTTTTTGAGCTTTTTGATGCTGGTTTGAATTGGAAATTTTCATTTCTTTTTGCATGGCAAGGGGCAGGGGTGAGTGCAGGTCAGGTTGCAGTGTGAACACAGGGCTGTGGGGAAAAAGTCATTGCTGTCCCCAAAAAGCAAAAAGGACGATGGAGGCTGGCACTGTGAGTGTGCAGGAGCCAGCAGAAGCTGGCAGCCCGCGCTCTGCAAAGGCTCACCAAAACCAGGATTCTTACATTGCTTTTTCATGCTGAGTGTGTGGTCGGGTGGCTGTTCAGCTCCATTTGAAGCTGTGGATTCTGGGTTCAGCTGGCTGGAAAGCCACATAAAACCACCCAGACTCACAAATGGACCTTTCTCCTGCTTCCCCCTGCAGCTTGTACCTTCTATTTACAAAACTTGTGGTTCTGAGATTTCAGTCAATAATCCCTTCTCTTGTTGCTAATGCGGTGCCCGGTGGCGTGCCTGGCATTCTGCAGGCAAACCAACCCACATTGTTTTTCTAAAGATTACCCAGACAAAGGTCGCAATCCAGCAGTGAGCTCCCACACGTGGGATGTGCTGAGCTGACTGCACGCAGCCTTGAGGAACAGTGGAGGCTGAGGGCCTCCCCAAACCATTACAAAAGCATTTATTTTCCTTTTCTTGGAACGTGACTCTTTCTGTCTGGACGTATGAGATGGTCACACAATGATCATTGCAGGCTGCTGTGCTCCCTGTGGCATCGCTTCGCTGTCTCCTGCTGTCAGCCTTGCCTAGTGGCCGTGTGCCCTGCTGCAGCATGGCAGTGCCCTCTCACTGTCTGTGCTGTGGGTCCTCAATCCTCCCTGAGGTCACCCTGCTGTCCCACCCTGGGATAGGGGCAGGCTGTTGGAAGGCTGCATCCGAGGTGCTGCTCCAGCTACCTGGAGAGGTGGCTGAGTGAAGCCTAAGGAACGTGCAGTGCATTTCCCTTTTCTGTATCTCATGCAAGCATCTATCAGCACTATGGTCACATCAGATGGGGCTTGAAACCACAGTCACTCGTCTTCCAGCACTGCATCTGTGGGCCCTGCCTGCTGACCCTGCCCAGGGTGAGGACACATCTGTCAGATATGGACCTGCATCTCTGTGTGGGGCTCTCCCGGCCCATGGCAGCAGTGGCCTGTTTGGTTTTGGATGGAGTGATGCCGGCAGGTCGGCTCTCCATGTCGTGGTGAGTGGTTTCCCTGCGTTCCCTGTCCCTGAGAAGACTTCAAGTGCACGCGTGCTGGAGAGACATCAAGGCAGGCTGCTCCCTGCAGGGAGGCTGGGTAGAGCAGCTGCTCGAGAGGCTTTTTCCTGTTTACTTGCTCCAAGAAGAGCTGGGTAACGTGCTGATTAAAAGCCATCTCTCCCGGCTGTGCCTGTTGTCCCTCCTCCTCCCGACCCATCTACAGGGTCACACTCTTGCTGTATTGGCAGAGAATTGTGAAGATGGTGCAGGTTATTTGGTTGCTTCTCTGGGTTGCTTCACTTGCCATTTTTTTCCCCTCTGCTTTCCAGCTTTGGGGACCACACTCCTGTCTTAATTGCTCTCCCAGCCCCAGCTGCTGCCCAGAGCCACCCGGCCGTCCATCAGCTCCTGGGATGGACTGGGTGGAGATGTGGGACCGTGGGAGTGCAGGCTGTCCCAGGGGACTTTAACCCCCTCAGCACCCACCCTGTACATCTGCAGCCCATAAATCTGCCTTCCAGCTGGCAGAGGGGTGGGGTGGCCGTGTTTGTTTGCCCAGCACTCAGTCATCGACTGACAACGTGATCTTTCTCAGCACGAGCTGCAGATAGCCCAGCCCGTATCAGATCAGCAGCAGATAGCTGAGCGGGGGGCATCTGCTCTCTCATTGTGACCAGCTGCCATCCTGCAGGCTTTCTTCGTCCACTTGTTCTGGCTGAGATGCAGCTTGGCTCTCAGGGAAGCATCAGAAAGTGGTTTTTCCTCTTTTTTTCATTCCTCTTCAGTGTCTCATCAGTCATTTTAATGCCTTGTGGTGGTTTGTTGGAGAGGCCTCGCTGCTTGTGGAGCACGGCTGGGGAAAGCACCAAGACAAGAGCAAGAGCCTTGGCACGCCAGCTTTGGTATGAGCCTTGGAGCAGCTCATCTCCAGTGCTGGAGACCAAATAAATCCCAGGTGAGGTGGTTAAGATGAGGTGAAGCCAAGCAGTGGTGGAGTCTGGCTGTAATGACGTGAAGGCCATCGCCAAGAGCTCCTGCATCTTCCACCTGAACTGCAGGGCACAGCACCGCTTGGGCTTCGCTGCTGTCTGCTCAGTGCTTGGAGCTCCTCTGCTGCACGCTGCTGTGGTGGGTGGCTGTGCAGCAGATGGGATCTCTGCACTCTTCTTCCCAATTTCTACCCTGGCAATGAAGAACTCAGGTGCTCATGAAGACAGAAATAAGGCATCTCCTTGGTGCTCTCTGTCAGTGCTGCGTAGCAGTCATCTTTGCTTGTAAATTACTGTCACGGAAACTCAACTGTGTCGACGGGTGGGATGGGTGAAAACTGAGTCACAGCATCTGAGCACCGCTGGCATTTGCTGCGAGCGTGACAGATCTTTTCTGGCCGTTGGTTTTCACTCCTTCACCTCTGTGCCCTCCTTATATCCTCATCCCAAGCACAGCTTCACGGTAGGCATGGCTCCCTGGGCTCAAGTCAGGAATACAGAAGTCCCTGTGGAACTCTCCAGGCCCACGTCCACCATGGCTTCCCATGGATGGCATGCTGTCTGCTGTGCTGCTGGCTGACCCCTCTCCTAGGGCGGTGTGGTGCCTGCCCTTGTCCCTGCTCTTGGTCCCATGCCTTCTCAGAGGCCCTAAGGGCTGTGGGTGGGAGGGCAGCTGTGTGTCTCCACATCTCTCTAGGCACAAGGAAAGAGCTGCTGCCTGCTGCGTTCATTTGCAGAAACCTGGCCTGGCAGCTCCCCTCTGCTTCTCGCTGTGTCAGATGCCTCCATCGATCCGTCCGTGTCCTCTGCAGTACCTTTCAGATCTGGTTACCGCTGCACGTCCACTCTGGAGGAAAGGAGGGAGGCGGGCTGCAGGAGCTCCCCATCCTCCCACCCTTTTATTGCGTTCCCTTGAGGCCGTGATGCTTCTAGCTGAGGCAGGGCTGAGGGAACGGATCCTCCATGCTGTGCAGGAGGTCACCTTGGAGCCCGCCATCCATCCAGCAGCACTGCTGTGGACCTTCCTCTTTCCATTTGAGTCAGTGGAAGCTTTTGCTTCTCAAACAGGCCGGGCCGGTGACTGAAAGGCGGCCCAGGGCCGTGTTTGGTCTGCAGTGGGGATGCATTGCTTTAAGGGTGGCAGTGCTGGGGGGAAGCAGCAGCGCCCAAATGTGAAGTTTTGGCCTTGGTAGCTGAGACTGTGCGGTGGAAACTGCCAGCCTTCACGTGCCTGCTGCTTGCTGGGCTGTGGGCAGAGATGTTGAGATAGCAGCATCCTGCTTTGCTCACTTGGGGGACCAGTTCTGTTTTTTTTTAACATGTGTTTTCTTGCATTTGAGAGTAATCAGGAGAAATATGCTGATGATGCCAGATAGGCAGCCGTCAGCCCCCAGCTAGCTCTGTTCCTGGTACTGGGAGGATGCTCATGAGATCTTGAAGGTCACTTACATGAGGCCAGGGCTGGTGGAGCAGCAAGGCAGGAGCCGCCTGGGGGTCTGTGCTGCCCTATGAGAGCAGGACAGTGTTTGGGCAGAGCCTTCGCCTCTCTGCTTCAGACTGTAAGGATGAGGAGCTGTGAATCACCTCATCTCCTGCCCATCTCCTGCAGCATGCTCTGCCCACCCTGAGAATTTCTGGGGACACAGGGAGGAGTCAGAGCTCAGAAGCCACAGGGCACGTGATGCAGGGGTGCAGAGCAGCTTGAGGCGAGGCAGGAAGCTCTGTGCCCACGGAGCAGCTGCTCCTGTGGTTGTGCATGTGGGGGCACTGGGGCTCCCCCAGAGCAGAGCGCTCTGCCCCATCCCCCTGCTGGTGGTCAGCTGGGATCAGGCCGCTTCCATCCATCCTGGCTAACTAGGAGCTCCCTGCTGCCTCCAGCCCATTGAGTTGTTTAGAGCACCATCCCTGCTCACTGTGGATGCAGCTGCCTCTGCTGTACAGCTAACACAGATGTCAGTTCATAGCAAAATGCAGCAGCTGAGAGTAAGGGTTGCAGTTTGCTGTGGGAGTGGGTGAGATGAAGCAGCTTGCCAGAGCTAGCCATGGCACTACTGAGCCAAGGCTGGAGGGAAAAACAGCTTAATCTGTGTCCTTTCCTGAGGCAGGAGAGGTTCCTGCACATCACAGCAATGAGAGCAGTGGGATGAGTGTGCTGCCGAGTACCAGGACTGCTGTGTTTCCCCAGTGCAGCCATGACAGAGAGTGAGCTTTTTGCAGGGGTTTTGGGTGCCTTAATAACACGGTAGCTCATCTGTTTCCAGTTCGTAGAAGGACAAGGAATGTGCTGGGGTGCAGAGCTGTGCTGTGCGGGTGTTTTGGTTGGCCTCTAAGGATGCTCAAGCCACTGGGTTGGATGAGAGGCCTCAGCGGGTTCATTGCTGCTCTAGCCAGATCAGCCATTTGCTGATGCTGTGGGATCACCTTCCTCCAGAAACCTGAGTGCTGATGGCTGTGTGTGTGGCCAGGGAGAAGGAGCAGAAACCCAGCACTGCATCTCTGTGCACAGACAGTTAATTACCATTGCACTATCCCATTTAGTTCTCATCTACTGAGAAAAGTGCGTAGGGCTGAGAGGCTGAGCTGTTGTCACTGTGAAAAGCTGTCCTGATGAGAGAAGGCTCTTCCCACTGAAATAGGTTTCTGTTGAGTCAAGGTAACTGCCTTCTTTCAGATAGGATATAAAGTGTTGGTCTCCACTTCTCGTGTGCCCCGTGGGTGCAGCAGCCATGTCCAAGCTCAGATCCTCACGGTACAGCTGGCACCTCGGTGGGTGCAGCTCAGCACAGTGCTGCCAGGAGCAGCGCGTGGTGCCGGCGGTGCTGCAGAGCAGCGCATGGCTGCAGTGCTTGGTGCAGGAGGCCCTGGCCCTCCTCCAGCAGAGCACTCAGCACTCGCTGGACCCATCTTCCAAAGATGAACAGCGCTGGCCCCAGCAGTGCATTCAGTGGCCTCCTATTGAAATAGTGAGAGGGAGGTACCGCTGTTATTCCCTGTGGTGCTACGTAACAGATTTCTGTCATTTCTACCTGTATGCCTCTATGAGTTGGGGCTTTTTTTCCATCTTCCTCACCTGCTGTGCTTTCCCCGGTGGCCAGGCCTTCCCTGGGAGCTATGGGAAGACTAGAAGTTGTCACACAGATTGTGGCTGGGGGAATCTGTGGTGCAAAGAAGACATTTCTCACTGTTTTTTTTACTGGGATAAGAAGATGGCAGTCCTCTCCACCTACGTAGGGCAGGGTCAGTCCATGCTAGGTGAGGTCAAGCTGCAGTGACGATGAACACGTGGATGTCAGTGCCCTGTGGTCCCCATGGGGACACTCTGCACTGTGCAGTGCTCGTGGTGTGGATGGATGGGTGTTTTCCTGGAGGTTGTCCCTGAGAAATTCATCCCAGAAGGTAACCTGGCCCAAATCCTTTTTTTTTTTTTTTTTTTTTAATTATTATTTTAAAATCAATCTAACATCTTTCCAAAAACCCTCCAGAGATGGAGATTTTGCAGCTCTGTTTCAGGGCGTCCTTATCCTTACAACACTCCATTTTGGTGCAAGAGAAAAGTGGGGTCTGGTGCTGGGGCTGCCCTCCCTCTGCTCCCCCGCAGGCTGCATGCAGGTCCTGCGCTGCTGCCGGGGCTTTGCTGCCCAATGGGGACGTGGGATGCTGTAGGGATGCAGTATTGCAGTGCTGCACGGCTGGGACGATGGCATCTGTACTCACTGAGCTTCCTGCTGAGAGCTCATTTCCTTCCACAGTGCGAGGAGGCTGGGGGGGGTTGCAGGAGGCTGAGGGCTGCCTCGTGGTGAGGTGCGGGCTGCAGAAACCAAACCCTCGTGCACCCAGTGCACATGGGGATGTTTGGGAGGATGAGAGATGAGCAAGCAGCTGCAGGCAGGCGTGGGCCGCAGCTTCTTACCGGCTCGGTGTGCAGGGTGCTCAGAACAGCAGCCGTGAGCCCAGCAGCTCCCTGCACCGCGTTCCTTTGCTCCAGGGGCTCTCCCTAGCGTGCATTTTGGGGATGCAGTTTGCAAGGGTAGCTCAGCCTCCTCTATCCCGCGGGTGTGCTTTGCAGCAAGTACTTATTGCCTGGTAAACTGCCATGAAATCTGTTCTTTCCCACTGCTTTTGTCAGGTCCCGGGACAGGAATTGTCTTTGCTGTGCGCGTCCCGGATGCAAAGACCGCAGCTGTGATGCGTTTTTATTTTAGTGGTAAGATGACATGCCATGTCACTGAGGATGTGACACACAGACAGATGACAATGGGACACCATGAACGTCCTGGCAGCCAGTTTCCAAAGGGTAGGTGATGCCTTACAAAGGCATCTGCTGGCTGCAGGGGGCTTGTCCAGCTGTTCGTGCACCTGGGGAGCTGGATCCGCACGTGGCCTCGGCTGCTGAGCTTTGTGTTACTGCAGCACCAGGCAGGGTTTCGCTGTACCAGAGTAAGTTACGAGTAAGCTGTGGCCATCCCAGGCTCCCTATGCAAGGTTTTTAACAAGTGCCAGGCTGTATCCCAGCCTCCTTTTGGGTTTGCTGGGAGTGAGCATCTCACGACCCAACCCCGTGCTGTCAGCCTCTACAGACTGGTGGTTAGCTCACACTTCTGTCTGCTCTCAAACTGCATCAAACGGAAGCGAGAAGCAGATCAGTGCACAGTGACAGTGGTAAGTGGAGTTTAATTGGGATGAATTACACTCCAGGTTTGCAGTAATCACCATCCCACATTGCTCAGAAGCATCGTCTGCTTTGAAAACGTGACTCAGAAATGTTGTTATTTGATTCCCCCGAGTGTTTCAGAAACTATTTTTCCAGGAAGCAAAGATTCTTGGGTTTGGGTTTGTTGGTTTTGTTTTTGGTTTTTTTTTGTGCTGTTGTTGCTGCTGTTGTGTTCTCTTTGTCTGATGGTAATGAGTGTCCTTTCCCAGAATTTCCTCTGGGGAGAAGGCTGAGGCCGCCCTCTCCAGCATCTCTCCAGCTCCCTCTTCTCTCCCATGCTAGCATCCTGGCACACTGCATCCTGCCATGCTTCAGTTTCCCCATGCTGCGCTGGCCGTGTGAGCATTGCACTGCCCTTCTTTCTCCCCTAAGGAACCACAGACCCTCATCTTCTCAGGAATTTCGAGCTCTTTGCTGAAATCCCTTTTGTTTTTTCCCCACGTTGTCTCTCAGTGGATATTCGTGAAATCAAAGAGATTCGTCCTGGAAAGAATTCACGTGATTTTGACCGGTACCAGGAGGATCCGTGCTTCCGACCAGACCAGTCCCATTGCTTCGTGGTCCTCTATGGCACAGAGTTCAGGCTGAAGACCCTCAGCTTGCAAGGTAAAGGGCAGGGGGCAGGCCAAACAGTCGCCACATTTCTCAGACATCCTTTTGACGGACTCTGGGACACATCCTGGGCAGATGCCCTTTTTGCCTTGCAGAGGGCATGGCTTTGGAAGCAGGTGGCAGCAGCGCTGTGACAGGCACTGCTTAAGTCAGTAACCGATCTGGTAAAGCCAGAAGTTGGGTAACAAGACGCTTTATTTCAAAGCACTGGATGTAGTGCTTTCTCTCAGCTGGACACATCACGCATGAGCTGAGTGCTGTCAGCCACACACCAGTGCTCAGAGCTCACTGGTTCCTGCTCTGCAGCTCAGTGCCGGCTGGTGGCACAGGGTGACTCCGTGCGTTGCTCTCAGCTTTCCTGAACATCCTGTCCGTTGGCTTAAGCTGCACTCAGGGCTCTCAGCCTGGTGCCTCGCTAACGCAGTGCTTTCTGCTGTTGAGATTCATCTTGTTTGGGTGGAGGATGGGCTCACAGTCATGTGCTGCAGTTCGGCTGGTGGGTGATGCCTTGTTATCCTAGCAGTACCCAGTCTTGTCTCATTTAGACCCGTGTAGGCAAGTTCTGCTGACACCTGAATGTTTGTCAGATCTGCCTTCTGGATGGGGCTGCAGCTCAATGGGACAGAGACAACCTTCTTTATTCAGAGGGAATTGCTGCCCCTGTCACCCAGGACTGGGCAATGCTCCTTGGGGACAGAGGTGGCACAGCTCTTAGGGATAGCATGGAAGGTTGTGGGGCATGGGGACCAGACAGCCACATGCGTCCTGGGGATGAGCAGGGAGAGCAGCCTAACAGAGCATCTGCATGGGAGGGAGTTGTCTGAATGGGGTGAATGAAGAAGGAAGGGATTCAAGGCACTGGGGACAGCCTCAGAGGTTGGTGACGGGCTTCTGTGTCCTTTTCTCCCATTTCTTCTCTTCTTTCTGCAGCCACTTCTGAGGATGAGGTCAACATGTGGATCAAGGGACTGAACTGGCTGGTGGCAGATACTCTGAGGGCTGCCACTCCTCTGCAGATTGAAAGGTGGGAGCTCAACTCTGTCCTGTGCTTGTGTAATTTTCCCTCTCCATCACCTGTTGTGCTGCCAGCCCCCAAAGCACTGTGCTGGGCTGTACAGCAGCACGTAGTCAGGAGCGTCCTCAGTGCTGGGGTGGGCTGACATCTCCTCTCCCTCTGAGCCATGGTGACCCCATGTCCTGTCTGTGTGAGCATCTCCCATTGACTGCCATGTCACAGCATCCATGGCCAGATACCATCTGCATTCCTTTCCTTCCAGGTGGCTCCGGAAGCAGTTCTACACACTGGACCGCAACCGGGAGGACAGGTAACAAGGGGAGCAAGAAGCAGCTGCACAGACACACGTGTTCCCAGGAGCAAGGCTTAAGTCCTCAGTGCCTGAATCCCAGTGTTGATCAGAGCCCTATTTCCCAGTCACTCACAGCCAGGAAGACCTTTGAGACCCCATCACTCCAACCAGCATCTCCAGAGAGGCAGAGCCAGAGAGGCTTTGCATGACTGAAATCCCAAAGCAGAGGACATTTTCAGCTGTTAATTCCCCCAGGTCCTTGGGCACCCTCCTTCTTCCACCTCCCCCTGCTGAGGGCAGCCCAGGGGTACTCAGAGGGTGGAATACCACCTGAATCTTTCCAGATTTGAGCCCCTTCTGTCCTGTATAGCTGTTACAAAGAGCTGACCTGCCCAAAATTAGGATCTGATTTCTGTGTCAGTGAAGAGCAACCTGCTGGAGGCAGTCTCCCTCCTGCTCCTTGCAGAGGGATCATTGGCTGGGAGCTGGGCTTGGGGCAACCAGGGGGTGATGTCCTCTGCCATGAGAAGGAATTTGAGACCAGCAACTGGCCTGGCTCCTCCTGGCATTGCTTTGCAAGGCTTTGTGTCATGGAGCAGCGTGAAGCACTGGGATGTTGCAGAGGAGGGGTAAATCACCTTTAATCTGCTGCAGCTGCTCTGCATATGCCACACAGCTTTCAAGTCAAGGCTGGGGTTTGCATGCAGTGATGGGACATGGGGAAGGTGGCAGGAGTGCAGCACTGCTCCCTCGGGCAGAGCCCTGGAGGGAAGCCATCCTCCAGCCACGTGCATCACTGAGCCCTTTGTTTGAAAACTCCTTTAACTCAGTGACGGAGAAGGCATGTGGGAGCAGCTGTGTGGGAGTTTGGAGCATGAATACAGGAGAAATGGAAAAAATTGCACCTTTTTCTCATGCAGTCACACAGTAACACTGCTGAAATGGCCCCAGGACAGAGGGGATGAATGTGCTGCTTGCTCTCCCTGAGATGTGGTCAGTGGGGTGAAAGCTGCGCTCCTGCATCACTCCGTTTTTGTCATACCACCTCTGTGTTATAATTAAGCTAAGAAAATGCCAAATATTCTTTACCTGTCAGTCGGGGAAGTGAGTTACATGCAAAGCAGAAAGCATTCCAGTCCAGGCTGAGCAGGGAGCACGATAGAAATGCTGCAGCGTGGAGGGGAAATGCAGAACGGTTCTGGCTTCCCTGTTTTACAGGCACCCACGTGTTCCCCATAAAGCCAGCAGTTAAGGTCCCATACAAGCTCTTGGCTGAAGTCTCTGTGTTGTCACTGGGCTGTTGACTTTTGCTTCTGGGCCTGGGAGCTAGCTTAGAATATGAATCAAGGAGCTGTGCTCTGCACACCAGGCAGATGTGGGGAGGCTGAGGACCCACTGCCCATTGCTGGAACCCACAGGGGTTTGCAGGGCTGGAAGTGCTGTGCTCACCCAGCAGAGCCCATCGTGACCCGTCCCCTGGCAGCACAGATGCTGTGGGTTGGCGCTGGCTGATGGCTGTTTGTTTTTTCAAGGGAAGTTAGGTAGAAAGAGGAGGATAACAGGATGCTGGGTTTTTTCCTAGCTCCAGAGGAGGCGGTTTCACCTCTGGCCAGGAAAGCTGCAGAGTCACAGTGCCAGGAGTGGGGAATGTTGTCATGCCCTTTGAAAGGGCTGGATCCGTCCTCTGGCTTAGCTGTGGTGAGGCCTCAAAAAACCTTCCCTACAAGAAGTTGGTTGGTTTATTTATTTGTTTATTCTGCTTTCCAGTCTCCAAATAGCACCGAACTATTTGTCAGAGCTCATCCAACGCTTTAACAGCTGGTGCCTCTGAGTGTGTGCACCGCCCAGCCCCAGGGTGAGACCCCTTGCTCTCACAGCTCCTGAACGTGTTTCCCCTCTGTCCCACACCAGGATCTCTGCCAAGGACCTGAAGAACATGCTGTCCCAGGTCAACTACCGCGTGCCCAACATGAGGTTCCTGCGGGAGCGCCTGACGGTGAGCTCTGGCCCCGCTGCTCTCCCTCCTCACTAGGAACCCTCAGCAGAGTGTGTCCTTTCTTGGGGTGAAACCTGGTGGTGCTGAGGCTCCCACCCCTGCTTGGTGGGATCCCTGCTTTTATGTGGACGAGCTTGTGGAAGCACATAGTGGGGGCTTAGAAGCCTGGGTGCTGTGTGGTCCCGTTGGCCCCAGTGGAGACATCCAGGAGATGAAATCTGGCCAAGTTTTGTCGCTTCTCCAAATCCTGTGGGCAGGTGACAACCCCTGGCCACAGGGATGCAAACCCCTCACTTATGGCCCCTGCAACACCTCTGGTGATGTTTTTTTCTTTTTGGCTGTAGGACATGGAGCAGAGGAATGGGGATATCACATACGGGCAGTTTGCACAGCTCTACCGCAGCCTGATGTTCAGTGCCCAGAAAACGGTAAGAGCTCAGTTCTCCAAGGCAGAAAAGAGAAAGCAGAGACCATATTTGTTACTGGGCATCCCCTCTTAATTGCCTTTTTAACCTTGCCTCCCTCAGCTAGTGGTTCCCATTTCCTACCTCTGGGGCAGGGAGTAAATCAGTTATTGCTTTCACCTGAGTGCAACCCTAAGCTCATGCTGCTTCTTTTGCAGATGGATGTCCCATTCCTAGATAGGTGAGTGCCTCTTTCTGTTGGCAGGGGAAGGGGCTCTGCTTTTTCTCTCCGTGCTGTGCTTGGATGCCTGCAGCAGCTTGGCAGGGATGTGGCACACTGTGTGCTTCTTGTGGTGGCACTGCTCATGTTTTTGTGCTCCGTGCACCTTTGCTGTAGACACTCAGCCTGGGTCAGCAGGGCTCTTCCTCCCAGACATTCCAGTGAGACCCAGCTCAGATCAGCTGTTGCGATTTAAAAAAAAATCTTTGATGTAGACATGGAAGCTAAAGATTTGTTGACTTGCCCAGGTAACATCCCATGGTTCTCTCCCTTTTATTTCCCACAATCACAGAAAAAAAGAGCTGACCATGTATGTCCCTTTGCCCAGGGCAGTCAGCACTGCCAGCTCCATTTCTGCCTTCTTATCTTAGTCCCAACATGGCCCCCGTTGGCCGTTACAGCTCAGTACTCCTGGATGTCTGCTGAGATAGCCAGCTGCAAATGGTCCCCCCCTTCCATCCTCCACCCTCTCCCATCCCTTGCTGCTTGCTCTGTCTGTCCTGCCCTGCTGCCTTATGGCTCATAGGTGGCCTTTTGCTGGCAGCAGAAGGTGGAGCAGTGACTGAAGTTTCTCTCCCTGTGCTCTCAGGGGTGGAGAAAGGTCTGAGCACTTCAGGGTGTCACTGATGGAGTTCCAGAAGTTCCTACTCGAGTACCAGAGGGTGAGCTCAGCATAGGCTGTGGGGCTGGGCGATGGACAGGGGGCTGTGGGGCTGTGGGGCTGTGCTTCTCCCAGGGCTGGAGCTTCACCCACCCCCTGTGCTCTTGGCTGATGGTACAGAAGGCCAATGGTTCCCCCTGAGCAGCAGCTGATCGATCTGCTTGCTGCCTGTGCTGTTAAAAGCCATCTTCCTCTGGCAAGCAGCAGCACAGCGTGCACATTCTGACCCATGCTTGGATGCGCTCAGTGTGTTTGCAGAGTGTGCAGACCCTTTCTGTAGGCTCCTGCAATGTCACGCTCCGTGTGAGAGCACAGGGCCTCCTGCTTTGCACCATCCTCCCCATCTGCAGCTGCAGGGAGCAGAAAATTAAGCAGCAGCCATTTGGATGACCTCATGAAAGACAACCAGGGAGGGGGAGACAAAAGGAAGCCGCAGTGGCTTCTGCTGCAGGGGGAGCTGGGAAGGCAGATCTGTGCAGAGGAGCTCTCAGAGAAAATGCAGAATGTTGAGAAAATGAGGACAGCTTAAAAATGGTTGGGATTGCTGCTGTCAGTCTGATATTCTTGCTAATAGCTGAATTCCCAGGCAGGGGTGGTTAAAGCTTCTAGCTGGATGAGCTGCCTGCAGTTTTGAATAACACTTCCCAAAATGCTCTCTTGTTTATTCCTCTTTGGTGGTTTGCAGGAGCTCTGGGCTGCAGACAGCCTTCAGGTACAGGAGTTCATGTTCAACTTTCTGAGAGACCCTTTGAGAGAGATTGACGAGCCTTATTTCTCCCTAGATGAGGTGAGGCACTTCCAACACCAACATGCCTACAGTGGGGTGGGACATCCCTGGTAGGAGGTGGGACTAAGAAGTAAATGGGGTGAGTGTCCCTTGGCAGCACATATCTGTCTTTTCAAAGCAAGGAAACCAGTGACGAGCTATGCTGGAAGCAGTAATACCATCTCCATGTCACTGGCACTCTGGCCCAAGTCCCACCCAATAGTCCCCCGATCGATGTGTAAAATGAAAGGCAGAGCTGATTATTTATCTGCAGCTGGGTCAGCTGTAGGGTTTATATGTGTTTACGTGGCCGGGCGCAGGGATAGGTGCCAATGCCCAGCGTTGTGGCTGCTTGAGCATGGTGGGCAGGGAGCTGTGCACCCTCTGGGCTGCCCTTGGCAGGGTTTGGTCAGGTCTTTGTCTCCTAATGGTGGTGGGGCCAGCTGGCGCTCCCACTGCAGGAGTCAGTCTGAATCAGCTTAGGTTGAGTTCATTCACATGCTTGGGGCGTGTGTGACGCTGAACCACGGGACCCAGACCCTCCCCACCAATAACACACTTCTGTTTCTTCCTGAGCAGTTTCTCACCTTCCTGTTTTCCAAAGAGAACAGCATCTGGAACTCACAGCTGGACATGGTGTGTCCCGAGAACATGAACAACCCCTTGTCCCATTACTGGATCTCCTCCTCACACAACACGTAAGGACCCCGGGGTGGGAACGGCTCCCTGCACCCTGTGCTGAGGGATTCCTGACAGACACGGTGCTGCAGGGCCTTTAAGAAGAGATACTCTAAAAGCCAGGCAGGGTGATTTGCTTCTGTGGTCCGTTTGCTTCTCTGCTGGTTGGAGCAGCTCACGTCCTTTGTCTGTGCTCCGTCCATCCGAGGCAGTGCGTTAGCTGAAGTGCAAGGACTCTTCACAAGAGCCAGCTCGAGCTGTGCCTGCAGCCCTTGCAGTGGGGACGGGGCTGCCGTGTCTCAGCACACATCCCCGCCCTGCTGCTCTGGCTGACACGTTCTCTCACCTCGAGGTACCTGACGGGGGATCAGTTCTCGAGTGAGTCCTCGCTGGAGGCGTACGCCCGCTGCCTGCGCATGGGGTGCCGCTGTATCGAACGTGAGTAGCAGCAGAGCCGGCAGCTTTGTCAGCGTTCTTGTGACGTTGTTCCATCTTTGGGTGGAAATGGACTCATCTTCCCATTTGGGTCTCTTTCAGTGGATTGCTGGGATGGTCCCGATGGTATGCCAGTCATCTACCACGGGCACACCTTAACCACCAAGATCAAGTTCTCTGACGTCTTGGTCACCATCAAGGAGCATGCCTTTGTCACCTCTGAGTGAGTACAGCGGGCGCCTGGGCTTCCAGGAGAGGCAGCAAGTGGGGTGCCACAAGGTGATGCCCACCTTTACCCTGGCACAACAGGGAAGGGAACATGCTGGTGTGGTTCCAGCCAAGGGGAGATTTCATTCAGAAAAGTGTGGTAGGAAGAGAGGCCCTGAGCAGATCTCAGCAGTGGGCTGGTTCGTGTCTGTCTGCTCGCTGCCAGCAGTGCTGAGGACACTGCTTGTAGAATGGTTCCACCGAAGGCTTGAGACTACACAGCTGCAGCACAGATGGGTGCTGGGGCAGACTGCTCTGAGAAGCCAGGTTTTGAATGGAGTTCCCCTTCCAAACACCACTCTGGTTCTGATGGCTCTTTCCTCTCTGCAGTTTCCCCGTCATTTTGTCCATTGAGGATCACTGCAGCATCGCTCAGCAGAGGAACATGGCTCAGAATTTCAAGAAGGTCTTTGGGGACATGCTCTTGACCAAACCCGTAGATATTTCTGCTGACGGACTTCCGTCCCCAAACCAACTCAAGAGGAAGATTCTCATCAAGGTGAGCTCCCTTCTCTAGCAGAACTGCATTTAGGAGAGAATGGGAACACGTTGAGATTAGGGAGCATGGGGAACTGCCTGCTTTTGGAAGGAGTTCTTGTGTTGATGTCTGTGATTAATTTTACCTTGAGAAAAAGGTTTGGATGTGAATGCAAATAGGAATTCCTCACAGTTTTGGGGCAGTTTGGCTCCAGGTCTCATCAGTAGCCCCATTCTCCTCACGCTGACTGCTTAACTCCACTTCTGAATTACCTCAGTGTGGGTTACCATGGCCCCATCCCAGCCAGAAGAGAATGCTTTCTGTTTGGCTGATGGTGTGAGGGATGGAGGAGCAGATCTGCTGCTGGAGGCAAGGGGAGGGCTTCTCTTGTTTCAGAGGAGCTGCCGGGCAATTTGCTTAGTAGCTGGATGCTGCCTTTCTTGGGAGGATGCTGGTATTTCTGCTGCAGAAATCTCCTCTGGGCAGGAAGGGTGGTGGGACTTCGGTGCCATCTGATGATCATCTCAGTGGCCTGGGTTGTGCCTTGGTCCCTGCAGGTGAGAGGAACTCTCTGCAGCAGACCTGGAGGTTTAAGGCCGTTTAGCATGAAACCCGTGCTGTTGTTGGGTGCCTGCTCTTCTCAGGAAGCCTGACCCACTCTCTTGTCCCACAGCACAAGAAACTGGCAGAGGGCAGTGCGTACGAGGAGCTGCCCACTTCTGTTATGTATTCAGAGAACGACATCAGCAACTCCATCAAAAACGGGATCCTCTACCTGGAAGACCCCATCAATCACGTAGGTGCTGCCGCCACCACCTTGTCCCGTGCATTAACCCTGACTCTGCAAATGCCTCCATGCTGTGCAAACACTGCAAGGGGCCCATGGCCATCCTGCTGCTCGGGCAGCTGAGCACCGAGGGCTCTTTGTGCTGGCTGTCTCCTATGCTCTGCCCTAGGCATCTCCTGCTGGGCCTTGCTAGAGACAGAAAGCTGAGCTAGAGGGAGCTGCTGCACTGCAGCCATTGTGCTGCTCTGTAGTCCCTGTAACTCTTAGCTCCTGTGGTAACTGCTAGCTGCTCCTGCAGTAAGTTCTGGGGCCAGTCTCAGCTTCCAGGCCTGGCTGCCTCCTGTCAATGTGTGACCTCTTACTGCAGCTCAGCATGGTCTCATGTTGCTTTGCAACATACCCAGCTTTGCAGCGCACCCAACATGTGCCCTTCCTTATCCGTAGTCTGCTTCTTCAGCTGCTTTGCTTTGATGAGGATCTCATCAAAAGTCCATACAGAAGGACTGGGAATTTGGAAGATTGCAAAGTGCAGTGGCCACGTGGCTGTATCTCTGACAGCTCATCTCTGATAATCCCTCTGCCAAATCCATGCCAATCATTCCCTTTTTTGCATTGCTTTGCTCTTCATTCAGTCATCTCTTAATTTGTACTGGGGTGTCTTTCAGCGTGATGTGCAGCCAGTTTGTGTGTCAGATCTATCGTGTGCAGGTTTGTTTGTGCCACGGATGAATGGGTGCTTCAGATCACGGAGGTGCCACAGAAGCTCCCACTGAAATCAGTGCTGTTGTTGCCTCCTGCACAAACAGATCATCCTTCACTGCTTGTGGTTTTTGAAGAGAGAAGGTCCCAGTGATGGGTGCTGCCTCAGGGGGCCCTCACCTGGCATGTGTTTCCTTGTAGGAGTGGAACCCGCATTACTTTGTCCTGACCAGCAGCAAGATCTATTACTCGGGGGAGACAACCAGCGACCAGGGAAATGAGGATGAGGAGGAGCAGAAGGAGGTGAGGGCTGCCTTGTGCAATGGTGAACAGTTCCCTCGAGACTCCACCTCACTGCCCAAGGGCTGAGCACCTCTGTCACCAGCTTCGGTGGGAGATGCTGTAGGAGGAGCTTCAAAAGGTCCTGTGAAACCCCCTGAGCATCCTTGGTACCTCCCACAGTGACCCCAACCCGTGCCTGTCCCCTCCTAGGTCAGCAACAGCACTGAGCTGCATTCCACAGAGAAGTGGTTCCACGGCAAGCTGGGAGCAGGGCGCGATGGGCGGCACATCGCTGAGCGGCTGCTGACAGAGTACTGCATCGAGACGGGGGCCCCCGATGGCTCCTTCCTCGTCAGGGAGAGCGAGACCTTTGTTGGGGACTACACCCTGTCCTTCTGGTGAGGGCCCTGCCTGCCGCTGCTCCTCGCAGCACTGCATCCCTGCAGCATTGTGCAGTGAGTCTGCGTGGGGCAGAGCGCTGCATCTCCCTGCTCTGTGTCTGGGAGGTGCCATCTCCCCACGGACCCCCCCCCCTTTGTTGCATCCCACAGGCGCAATGGGAAGGTGCAGCACTGCCGCATCCACTCACGGCAGGACGCCGGCAGCCCCAAGTTCTTCCTGACAGACAACCTGGTGTTTGACAGCCTCTACGACCTCATCACCCACTATCAGGAGGTGCCGCTGAGGTGCAATGAGTTCGAGATGAGGCTGACAGAGCCGGTGCCTCAGACCAACGCCCATGAGAGCAAAGAGTGAGTGTGGCCGTGATGAGTTGTGTCGTGGCAGTGGTACCCCAAAGGAAGCCCTCCCAGCTCTCTGCAGTCCCTTCTGGGGGGTGGTGGTCCCCATGGGTTCCCCATTGGGTCGGGTGTGAGCTGCAGTGGCTGCGTGGAGAATCATATCCATCTGTATGTCTCCCAAAAGGTGGTACCACGCCAACCTCACTCGTGCCCAAGCTGAGCACATGCTGATGCGGGTGCCACGGGACGGAGCCTTCCTGGTGCGCAAGAGGAGCGAACCCAGCTCCTACGCCATCTCCTTCAGGTGCGTCCCAAGGGAGCACAGTGGGACAGGCATGGGGGAAGGGATGCTGGGGAAGAAGGAGCAGAGCAATGGGACTGAGAGGTGCTGTGACAGGGGGTTCTGGCACATTGCTGCTGGAGCGTTTACCCTCGTGTGGCCTTTCCAGGACCCTGCTGCTCTTCGGCTGTGCCATCTTCTACCCCTCTCCCTGACCAATATCCCTGTTTCTGCAAGGAAAAGGGCACCTGGCTTCATGTCCCCATTGCACTGCATGCTGTGGGGCATCCCTTCTCCAGTGCTAGTGGTGCTAGTGGCATGCAGATACACCCCTGTGGTGACACACCTGCACTGGGAGATGGCTGCTCTCAGTCTGGGTGCCTTGATTTTGGGTCAGATCCTCGGCCACGTGCCAAGTAGCCCCTCTCCCTCTCCACATGCCAGGGCGGAAGGGAAAATCAAGCACTGCCGTGTGCAGCAGGAAGGCCAGACTGTGCTGCTGGGCAACTCTGAGTTCGAGAGCCTGGTGGACTTAATCAGCTACTATGAGAAGCACCCGCTGTACCGCAAGATGAAGCTGAGGTACCCCATCAACGAGGAGACGCTGGAGAAGATCGGGACAGCAGTGAGTGTGGGCAGCTTTCAGAAGGGCTAAGCCAAGGGGTGCTGCATGGGTGGCTTGTGAGCTGATGCCTGGAGCGGCATTGTGTAGCCATCTCTTATTGCCCCACTGCTGTCTGTTGCTTGAGCAAGGCTCCAGGAAGTGTGGGCCGTGCATGTTTGCTCTGTGCAGTATCACGGCAGTGCAATGTGCCCTCCCTGGGGTGTTTTCCCCCTCTCCACCAAGGCAGGCCCACGTCGTCCTGCCAACCTGCAGCTCTCATTGCTGGCCTTTGCTTTTGCAGGAGCCGGACTATGGAGCGCTCTACGAGGGACGCCATCCTGGCTTCTATGTAGAGGCCAACCCCATGCCGACCTTCAAGGTATGTCCCACTGCAGCATGCTGCAAGCTGCAGGCCTGGCTGTTCCCCTCAGCCCCCTCCCCATCCCCATCACACCCTGCCCTCCTAGGCTCTGCAGGTGTCAGGATGAGGGAGGACCTTCTGTAGGGTAGATAAGACCCAATCCCTTCTGCTGCCATCTGCTCTTCTCTCAAAGCTGCTGAGTTTCATCTCCAAACAAATGTTCTTACTGAGAACTCTGTGGAAGATGAAGTCTGGATTTCTCTCCAGCTCAGCCATACTAGGCTGAGTATCTGGGCCAGTCTGGGTTTGTTATTCAGTTAAAAATTAAATGATTGATGAATCAGAGTTCTTCCTGGCTTTTCCATGCTAGGCTAGGTGGCACTGTGCCTGCCCTTGTTTGCAGGCTTCCTGAAGAAATTCACTGTGCAGCAGTTTCTTTCTGACACCTTCATGGCACTGCAGCCTTCATTTTCAGTGGCTCAGGGAGGACACCTCAGCCTCCAGCTCTGAATTTCACTCTATTGATCCAGCCAAACTGCAGAGCTTGCCCCAGCCCCAGCTCCCAACCCCTTATAGGGTTCAGTATCCCCAGGGCCTGAGCATTCAGCAAATGCCTCCATTTCCCAAAAACCTTGTTATTTGGCACGTCATACCCCCGTGGTGTGGGAGGTGACCTCCTTGTCCCTGTGCCATGTCCAACGCTCACTGAACTCCCCTCTCCTCTATGTAGTGTGCAGTCAAAGCTCTGTTTGACTACAAGGCGCAGAGGGAGGATGAGCTCACCTTCACCAAAAATGCCATCATCCAGAATGTGGAGAAGCAGGAAGGAGGCTGGTGAGTCAGTTCTGACCCTCCTTTTTCCCTAGAGAATGTGATCAAAGCATGGTGTCACCTTGTGTGTCCCCTTTGGGGTGCGCATTGCCCACAAGCTGCACAGCCCCAAGTCTTGAACCCTGTGGGTGGCACAGCATCTGCCTGTCACCTGGGATGCTGAGCCAGCATGACCTGGGGTCCCCAGTGGGTGCTGACGTGTCTCCTTCCCTCTCCCCCAGGTGGAGGGGGGATTATGGTGGCAAGAAACAGTTGTGGTTCCCTTCCAACTATGTGGAGGAGATCAGCAGCCCCAGCAGCCTGGAGCCAGAGCGGGAGGTGAGCTGGGGTCAGGCAGTAGGGAGCAGCGTGTGCATGCAGCATGCAGTGCCTGGTGACAGTGCTGTGCTTTGCTCCCAGCAGCAGCTGGATGAGAACAGCCCCCTGGGAGACCTGCTGGGAGGTGTCCTGGATGTGCCGTCTTGCCAGATTGGTGAGAACTGGGAACCACAGCATCATAGGGATTGGAGGGGACCGCTGGAGATCATCTGATCCAGCCCCAAGGAAGGGGTGGAGGAGATGCTTTGCTCCGGTAGAGGGATTTAGTAGGCTGCAGGGCTTCAGCCTCCGGGCACCTTGTGCCTGAGCACATGGCCTCTGTGCATGCCTGATGGGCTCAGATGCTGGGTGTTGGACATCTTGGAACCCAAACATTTGGTGGCAGGGGGCAGCCCTCTGTGCTATGCTGAGGAGCTGTTCCAGCGCGCTCTGAATCTGCTCTGCCCCGTCTCTCTGATCCCACAAGCCCCGAAGGCATTGCATAATATGCCAGGGGGCTGCAAGAGGGTGGAAAGAGGAGCTTCTCCTCTTAATTCCCAGACTTGGGCTGGTCATGGAGGTCCCTCAGTGCCTGTCCCCTCCCATTGTGGTGTGACCATTCTGCTCATGACCATTATTCTGCTCCCTCTCCCACGCAGCCATCCGCCCCGAGGGAAAGAACAACCGCCTGTTTGTCTTCTCCATTAGCATGGCCTCTGTGTCACGCTTGTCCCTTGACGTGGCAGCCGATACACACGAGGACTTGCTGGACTGGGTGAAGAAGATCCGGGAGGCAGCCCAGACAGCTGATGCACGGGTGAGTCTGGAGAGCCCTTGGCAGTGGAGTCAAGTTCAAGGATTTCCACGTTGCACAAAGAGAGGTTTGGTTGGTGAGGATAGCAGTGAGGTGGCTGCCAGCACCTCCATGCAGAGCTGACCATGGCTGTTGAGCTGGGTTGGCCCACATTGCTGCCCTGACAGGAGGTAATGGTCTTAAATTGTGCCAGGCTGGATATTAGGAAAATTTTTTTTTTCTGATAAGAGTGTTGATTCAGTGGCACAGCTGCCCGTGGAGGTGGTGGGGTCACTGTCCCATATTCCAGAGCTGTGGGGATGTGGCATTGAGGGACGTGGTCAGTGGGCACGGTGGGGTGGGTTGGGATTGAACTTGGTGATCTTATAGGTCTTTTCCAATCTTTATGATTCTGTGATTCTGTGAGACCTTTCTGTTCTCCTGGCAGCTCTCTGAAGGGAAGATGATGGAGAGGAGGAAGAAGATCGCCTTGGAGCTTTCAGAGCTAGTGGTCTATTGCCGACCTGTGCCCTTCGATGAAGAGAGTGAGCACCTGCTGGGCCCATGGTCAGCACAGGCAGCCACTATGGTGGTACAGATCCTGCTGTGAAGGTTCCATTGCACTGCTGCAGAGATGTGGCACCATCTGGAGCAGCCCCAGGGAGGGGGGCAGGGAACCTCCAGTCTTTATCATCCATCAAATGCTTCTAAGGGCAGAGGAGGGGTTACACGTGCCTGGTAGTGTCTGAGCCAGCACTAGGATGGGCTTGGTGGAGGTGCCTGGAACAGGAATGTGCTCCTGTCCAGGGGCTGGATCGCTCCGTAGCGGCTGCTTTCCACCACTGCTCCTGCCTTACATGTGCTCTGTCTCCTCCCAGAGATCGGCACAGAGAGGGCCTGTTACCGAGACATGTCCTCCTTCCCTGAGACCAAGGCAGAGAAGTACGTCAACAAGATCAAAGGCAAGAAGTTCCTGCAGTACAACCGCCTGCAGCTCTCCCGTATCTACCCCAAGGGCCAGCGCCTCGACTCCTCCAACTACGACCCCCTGCCCATGTGGATCTGTGGCAGCCAGCTGGTGGCCCTCAATTTCCAGACTCCTGGTGAGAGCAGCAGGCAGGGCAGGGGGTCCTCACATGCCTCCTGTGGCAAACACTGGGGTGAGGAGGGTCCTGCAGCCCCCGCTCTGTGTGCCAGGCCCTTCTGGGAGCCCGCTCATAGGCTCACCAGAAAAAATGACCTTTATATTTCTTTCTGCTGGGCTTTCCATTGCTTTTGTGAATTGAGATGTCTTGCAGGTTGGTTTGATAAGCTGAAAAGGGGCGGGGGGGAGGGGAGGGAAAGGAGATGACTCGTGGATCACACGTCCCCTGGGCAGAATGCAAGCAATGTGTGTGCGCTGAGCAAGGCTGTGCGGCACAAGGGTTCTGGGAGCTTGAGTCTCATGCAAGGCACAAAGAACACAAATGGAAAGGGCCTAGGACCTAGGTGATCAGTGAAGTCCCTTCCAGTTCAAGGCATTCTGTGATCCCATGACCTCCTCCACTCACCTCCTTCCTCCTGTGCTCCCCAGACAAGCCCATGCAGATGAACCAGGCCTTGTTCCTGTCCAGCGGGCAGTGCGGGTACGTTCTGCAGCCAGCCAACATGCGGGACGACATCTTTGACCCCTTTGACAAGAGCACGCTGCGCGGCGTCGAGCCGCTCTCCATCTCCATCGAGGTGAGAGCCAGCCTGTGGCTGCTGCTCTGCGGCAGGACACCCCGAGGCCTGTGGGGTGCCAGCAGGTGGCAATCATGCACTGTGCTGTGCCACATCCCTGCCAGGGCAGTGACACAGCCATGCCTTGTCCCCTGTGCTGGTAAGGGCTCAAGGTGGCTGCTTTGCTGTGGGCTCAACCCCCTCGGAGAGGGCCTTTCATCCCCGTTCCTACTCATACAGGGTTGGACTGCAGATGTTGGCCAAGGCTGGGGCACCCAACAGAGCCATTGCTCTGCCTGGGGAGGGCACGGCATTGGCACCATCCGTTTCATAACTCCTTAAAAGTCCCCAGCACCATTTCTCTGTGACTTCCATTTACCAAAGCACTGCCCCCCAAAATCTTCCTGCATCTTAGGGTAGAGCTGCAGCCTCCAGGCATCAAGGGACCCCATGCTACAGTCATCTCCTTGAAGAGATGAGCTCAGCTTCTTGTCCCCTGGCAAAGCTGCCTGGTGTCCTCACCAGAACCAGCTTTCATGGATGGAGAAGCTGCCTGGTGCACAGCATGACTCAAAGCACGTGATATGGTGTTGGCAGTGTCTTCTTTCCCAACTCCGGTGACATATGGCCCTTGGCAGGAGGAGCAGGGAGCTGTGCTGTGAGGAAGCAGGTTGTCCTTTGTGCTGAGCACCCACTGCTGTGGGCAGAGGGGAGGAACAGCTTCCTTCAGCCAAAGCAATGGGAGCAAGAAGTTCTGATGAAGCCATGGGGGTCCAGTGCCAAGGTCCATCTATTGTCTGAGCCCAGCTTGGGGGAGTGATGCTGTGGTCACAGCTGGGCTGTGCAGCTGCAGCAGGACTGCAGACAGCTGAGCTGCCTTGCTGCTGGCTTCAGGGTAAGACTGGTGAGATGCAGCAGTTCCACATCTGGGAGCAGCATCCCTCCAAGCGTCCGCATCTCTCTCCACTTAGTGCAGCCCAGGCGGGGGAATTATTCAGACAGCAAAGTTCTGTGTATACAAACAAGTCTTTTCCTTGGCTCCCAGCCTTCACTCAGTCTCTGTTCCCCAGGTCCTGGGGGCCCGGCACCTCCCCAAAAACGGCAGAGGAATCGTTTGTCCCTTTGTGGAGGTGGAGGTTTCTGGGGCAGAGTACGACAACGCAAAGCAGAAAACAGAGATTGTGGGTGAGTGTGGAAGGAGAGATGGCATGGGTGGGTTGGTTTCCCCCCCGATGCAGCCTTTCTGCTGGCTGATGTGCTTAGCAGGGGCTTGGCAGCAGTGGGGGGAGGGGCTGAGGGTGATGCTCAGACACCTCCACACCAAGGGAGGAGATGGGGCTGCAGGCTCTGTCCCTCACCTTTAAGGTGGAAGGAGCAAAGCTGTGCTGGGGCTGCCCTCTCACGGCAGCGTTCTGTGCACAGCGGACAATGGCCTGAACCCCCTCTGGAGCCCGAAGCAGTTCCACTTCCAGGTCAGCAACCCTGAGTTTGCCTTCCTCCGCTTTGTGGTGTATGAGGAGGACATGTTCAGCGATGAGAACTTCCTGGCCCAGGCGACTTTCCTGGTGAAAGGCTTGAAGACAGGTAAGGGCTCAGGGCTGCCGTGTGCACAGTGTTGGTGCTCAGCCGTTTGCTGAGCATGGGGCAGTCAAGGAGCTGTGCTGCAAATGACGTGGGGCTGTGTGTGCTGCAGGGTTCCGAGCCGTACCCCTGAAGAACAACTACAGTGAGAACCTGGAGCTGGCTTCCCTGCTTGTCAAGATCGACATTTTCCCCAGCAAGGTGAGAGGGCCTTGCTGCACCCATCCCGCAGAGAGCAGCTGTGGTGTCCTGGCTTCTGCTCCCATCCAGTCCCTAGGCTCAGGGCCATTGGGAAGAGCTCTTGGAGATAAGTGAAGAAATCAAAGAAACATATAAGTCATGCAATGGAATGGGTTGCCCTGGGTGGTCGTGTGTCCCTGCAGGTAGTGGCAGTAGGAGATGTGGCTTAGAAGCAGGGTGGTCCAGTTGGTGGTCGGACTCAGTGAGCTCAAGGGTGTTTTCCAACCTAGGAGTCCATTTTGATGGGAGCCCATGGTGCATCTGGAAGCCTGGGACACCGCAGGTTATCTTTGGGGCTCAGGGCAGCCTTGCCTATAGCTCTGCACCATCCCAACCCCTTCACTGTCCTTTGCTCTGACCCAAGCAGGAAAATGGTGACATCAGCCTCTTTGGTGGCTCCGTGCTGCGGGAGCGAGGCGGGGACATGGCCAGCCAGCTGCTGGCCAGCAGAGCCAGGGAGGGCTCCTTCGAGGTGCGGTACCAGCAGCCCTTTGAGGACTTCCGAGTGTCACAGGAGCAGCTGGCGGAGCACTTTGAGAGCCGGGAGCGAAGGTGGGCCAGCAAGCAGGGGAGACGTTGAGCATTGGGGTCCTTGGGGGGCAGGCTGTGAAACAGAGTCTCGTGCTAGGGCTGAGCTGCAGCTTTGTCTGCCTTCTGGAAACCCTGAATTAAGCTGGGAAGTAACGGCAAGGCTTAGGGGGTTCACTGCTAATGGGTCGGGGTGGGGGTGATGAGATGCACAGCGGGGGATGCATGGAGGGGTGCTGTGAGCTGCTCCATGCCCTTGTGCTTCTGTGCTGCTCAAGCATGGGCATAGGAGCTGGGAATAGAAACCTCAGAGTGGTGGGAGCTCAGTGTGGGGCACACAGAGAACTGGGGTGGGGATGCAGCAAAGTGTCGGCTCTGTGTCCCCGCAGGGCGCTGCGAAGGACCAGGGTCAACGGGGACAACCGGCTGTAGGGCCGGCGGGAAGCACCTCCTGTGCCTGTGAGTCTCAGGGCACGCTGCGAACTGGTTTCTATGGAAACGGCACTGCTATGGCCTACTTTCAGGCAGCTTTTCCAGTTTCTCTGCTGAAGTGTGTTCGAGTGGAGAACTAAAAAAAAAAAAAAAAAAAGGAAAAAAAAATAATAAACAACCAAAAACCCACCCCAACACCCACCCACCTCCACCACCAAGCCCTTAATGAAGCGGATGGATGTGCACAGTCTGCCAGCCGCCGGGTGAGAGACAAAACTGTAATCACAAGGAACTGGGCAAACAGCACCAAGCACTGCGCCGCCCGCCCTCCACCCACTGTCTCAGTGTGCACAGGGCTGTATTCTGCCTCCAGGGCAGCAGCAGCCCTGCAGCTCCACGGCCACTAGCTTAAAGTCTAATAAACGTGTCAGTATTACGTGCACGCTGTCTCATTTTGCTGCCCTTGTCTTCCTACGTGCTGGGAGGAACGAGCAGGAGCTGCCCCAGGGTTACAGCTGGGGCGAGAAGCGGAGGTTGTATGGCTGCAAGGGGGGCAGGGCTGGGGGGGATGCAGCCTCTCAATCAGCAGCCGACTCTCGTTCGTATTTTACGCTCTTTATTTAGGAACAATCAAAAATGTCTGGTTTCATTTCAACAAACTCAACAAACTGTACAAGCAAACTCTTTCCCTCTCCCACCCTCATGTCCACATATACAAAAGGAAGGGAATCTTGCCGTTCACTTCTCAGAAGTGGCATTGTTGCTACAGGGAGTTCGTGCCCTCAGAATGAGAGCAGTAAAGTCCATAGCAGTGCAAGCTACCCTAGCCCAAGTCATAGCCACAGCCCACAGTCACAGGCAGCTTCACTTTCGTTTTGTTTTGTTGTTTGTTTTTTTTTTGTCTTTGTTTTCTCTTTAAAACCTTTATGAAAAGTAAAAACTATTTCCTGTCTCGCCCGGCTGCCAAGGTGACCATCTAAAATCGTGGTCTTAAAAACAGTAAGAATTGGAACCCCCTGGTACAAAGACACAGCAGAGCCTCTGCTCTGCCCCCAGCTGCACGGCCACCCTTATGAAAGGTCCCGGTGCAGCTACAATTACATTTTCCTTTGGATAAATCCAAGCCAAAAAAAAAAAAAAAAAAATATCCAGGTCATTCAGCACCAGCATGATTTCTAAATAATAATAATTAAAACAAAAAAGAAAAAAAAAAAAAAAAAAAAGAGACCCCACTAGACTGACTTTATGGTCTGCTGAGAAACAAAGTGATCAACACGCTGTTCCCAAAGTCTCTCTTTAGTGCAATGTTAGTATGTGCAAGGGGAATCACAGCCACGTACCCATGAACACCGCCAGCCAGATGGGGCAGACAGAAAGTGCAATTTTTAGCAAGAAGTTTTCTATGCCACGAATTCCTAAGCCCAACCTTCGCTAGCACCAGTGAGCAAGGGCCCTCCTGACCTGCCCTCCATCCATGGCTTTGGCTGCACCATCCACATCTGGCCAAGGGCGGCCAGCAGAGCGCTCTGCTGAAATAGGCAATGAGAAAAAAGAAAGGCAAAACCACTGCTGCTTCGGTAACAGCGCTCACTTGCTCTGCTCTAACGGCTTGTGATGCCAGTGCAGTATTCCTGGCACCACCACTGCCAGCAGGAGACACTGCACAAGCTAAACTTGCAAAAAAAAATATGAAAGTAGAGCTTGCAAGGCCATCTCCACTGCCTAATCTTTCCCTGCTGGTTTTGAGATCAACTGAGAAATTAAAATGGAGGTTATGCAGTGAGCTGAATCAGACGGATTTGAAAGGTGAAGCCACGGTTATCTGGAAGCAGGAGAAAGAAATTAATGTTCCAGTCTGTGCCTAAGTGCTGAAGTCATCCTTCCCTTCTGATTCCCAGTGACCCCAGCAGCTTCCAAACATCTTGGTCACATCTCTGAACTGGCTCTGAGAGAGGGACTGTAGGGAAGGAAGAGCGCAAAACTTCCCCCATGACCAAAAATCATTACTTTTCGTTAGCAAATACACAATAAGTGGCCCAAACACGGAATGCAAAACCAGCCTAGCATGAGCCAAGCAGATACCCTGCGGCTCCTCTGCACGAGCACTGCTTGGCCAGGGTGCAGCTCTGCACTGAGCTGCGGGGGGATTCAGATCACAGCTGCCAGCAGTGCCCAAGAGGAAACCCTGGCAGGAGGGGACGCAGCCACCTTAAAATACCTGCACTGGAGCTCTGCGTGCTGACAGTGAGTGCTGCAGGACATGTGGCTGTGTCCACTCCTGCCAGGGCTGTGAGCCTGATGGGCAGCACTGCTCAGCTTGCAGGCAAATGGAAATAGGAGCCTGCAAATCATGGCTTAGTGTTCTGTTTCAAAAAAAAATAATAATTTTTAAAAAGGAATGATCTCCAGGATGCTAGTTAGGGAGCAGAAGAATTAGCAACCCACGTAGAACACAAAGCAAATGTGGAAATGAAACAGCTTGGCTGCTGATATGGATGACTCTTGCACTGGGAGAACCAAAGCCCTGTAGGTAAGCAAGTCAGGCACAGCACAGATCAGGGTTTCAGATGATTAAGCAATTGGATTGCGACCTGAATCTAAGCAGCTTCAGAGACAGAAGTAACAAGATTCATATGGATTACAAAGGATGCTCACTGCTGTGCTTACTGAGACCAAGCTCACACACAGCTGAGGTGAAGAAAGTAATTTCCCTTCCCTACTGATGCTGGCTACATGACCTCCATCCTACTTTCCTCCTTTCAAGTCAAGACATCATCTTTGATTTGATGATGATAAATGTTCATGCTAAGAGCAGGGCTGCAGTGGCACCTGCCCTCACCACCAGGACAGCTGTTCTGGGACTGCTGAGCCACCTCCTCTATTTAAGTTCCAGATGCAAACACACAATTTCTAATGCCCTGCCCCTAACCTCAATCAATTTGGAGATTACACCTGCTTCTCTTTAGCTTCACAACTGATATGATAGGGGAAACAGAGGACCACAGAGCTAAACCCTCTCACGTTCAGCTTATACTTCCACAGAGATTTCAAGTCAACTAAAAATGCAGCTAAGGAGGAATGTGTGGGAGTCAGAAAGCAAACTCAGTTACTTTTTATGTTGGTTTTTGTCCTTACATCTCCCCGCCCTGCACAGCTCGGCCCTGCGGATGGGGGGAGCCTGCATGGAACCACTTCTTAGAATTCCTCTGCCCCAAAAGAAAGAAGACTCCTGCTGTGCTTCTATGAATGCATGCAGACAAAGCTCAGAACTCTCAGCAGCTTCCAACCCTCAAGGCTGTTTTTCTGTGTACACCGGGAAATTCTCCTTCTAGCTTGCAAGGCTTCTCAATTTGCTGGAAAACTGGCCAAAAAACAACCCAAGTGCAAAACGTTTCAGCTAGTGCATGGGAAAACAGTTTCAAGGGACCACTCCACACCATCATCCTTAAGCATTTCTGTAGATGAGCAGGGATCACTCTTCCAATTAGCCACAGGCCTATAAGTGCACACCAAAATCCCACAGAAAACCGCCTTGAATGGGCAAACTACATTCCCAACATATTTATATAGCGAGTAGTTAGTAGAAGTGTACATTTTTAATGTACCTCTTAATGCAATAAAGAATCAATGGCATATCTGAACTGTATATATGTGTACTTAAATAAACCTGCACGTACATAGACAATAGTAAATTACCTACCTGCATTTGTTCTCTGAAGGCAGCACTGGACATGCACTCACACTCCATTCTGGCAGCCTTGTCTCTGGCAGCACCTCGCTGTCCCCCATCTCCTGGGCACTGTGGGGTGGAGGTGGCATCGCTGCTGTGCCTCCGACCAAGGCACGCAGGCAGCAGTGCTGCTGCAGAGAGGAATCAGAGCCTGCTCTAGCTCATGGCACCCTGGGGAGGATTTGTGACTGCTAAGGGGGTTACAACAACACGTCTGCATCTCAGTGCCCAGCAGGCAGGCACGTACCGTGAGAACCCCCTGCAGCACAGAGAGCTTCTGCCAGAACGCTGGGCAGCCTCGTGAAGAGGGGACAGAGAATGAACTGGAAAAGCAAAAGCAATTAAAGGTAGAAATCAGACACCATCTTTGGAAGAGGTTCTGAAAGAGCTTTTTGTTTTTAAAACAGATTTTTTTGTAAATTTCTGGATCTGATCCTCTGAGGCTTGCTACCCACCCTTCTAATAAATATCATTTACCACTAACAATAAAGTCTCCCACATTAAAAAGCTCTCACTAAATAAAACCCTTCTACAGAAAAAAAGCTTGGCAAAAATAAGGAGCTGTGACTACTCTCCATAAATACATCAGCGGGTAAACACCAAAAACTATTTAAGTTAAGGGACAATGTTGGCTCCAAAACAAACCAGGAACAAACTGGCCACGAATTAATTCAAACTAGAAATTTAAAGAAAGTTTCTAACCATTCAAAGGCAGCGGAGCTCTGGAGCTGTCTTCCAAGAGCAAAAGTGAAGGCAAGACATGGAACCAATTTTGAGCTGGGAAGTGATTAGTTTACGACAGGATGGTCTGACACAGCACTTGGCTGGGCTGTTGCTCAGTGCTCCTCCAGACCTTGTGTTCTGTTAGGGAGGGATACTGAAAATGCATCACGCAGCAACCACTGAGACAAGAGGAGCACGTCAAAAAGGAGCAGGGTGTGGAAGCAGAGGTTAACAGAGAAAAATGCTTGGCTCTGTCACATGGAGGCAGAACGGCTGTGGATGGAACAAAACAAAAAGTGGAAAAAGCAAAGACTTGAAGTTATCAGCACCACTGCCGGAGGATCACTCGTAGTCACAGAGGGCTGAAAGTGGGAAACTGCCCGACTGCTGCTGCCTCACAGAGCCCTTGGAGACAACAATGGCCTGAACCACTCTCAGCAGCTCTGTGCTTCTCTGTGTTTGTCCTCTGAAGGAACAGCTCGTTCTCTCCGAACAATGAAAAGGATTCCAGGTCTGGATGGAAAAATTATGATGTGCTAGTTCTCAGTGATTAAAGGGAGACTTGGAGATTGAACAGCCTGCTGCAGTCAGTCTCCATCTGCAAAAGGGAACACGCTTTTGGCCAACAAGGGACAAACAACTCTGAACTCCCTCTCCTGGGTTTGCTGCTGCTTAATGGAGAGTACGCAATGCTAAATTTGACCTCACCCCTCGGGATGAACACTGAGCTCCCACCTGGCCTCAATGCAAGACTGGCAACTTCTTTCTCAGGTACCTTTTCTGACACGCACCCACACATACACACACGTGTGCATCCTGCAGAACTCTTCAAAGCCAGAGCTTAGGGAATGAAAAAGGCAGAGAGGTTATATGCAGCCACGCCAGCCTTTAGAGAACAAACACCTTAATGGACAGATGAAAAAAATGTATTGTGCCATAATAGTCCATATCTAAGCAATGACCTTGTTTACACAATGTCTGAGATTCCTTATGCTTGTATAGGCAGCTGTAGGCATCAGTATATGAATATGAAATCTGAAAGTTCGTCCACTGAAAAGCAAACAAGAGCATCCTATTTCCTGGGCGTGAGCTGAGCCCACAGCCCCCATCTCTGCCAGCCCTCAGCCGTCTCCTGGGCTGGGCCAGAGCTCTGCACTCAGTGCCCAGTTTACACTCGCACTCTCACTCTCGTGCTGCACTCAAAGGTCTCATTTATGGCAGTGCTTTATCACCGTGTCCTGTTCCTGACGTCTCTATCAGACTGGCCCGTCAACTTCTTAAAGACCAAAAACTTCTCAAAGGTAAGAGTGGATCCTCTGGGACAAGTGGTTTGAGTTCAGTCTGTTTCTAGAAAAAAAAAAACAATACAGGTATCAGAGATGCTCCAGCATGCTGCAGGTGCCTGCAGCAGGGAACAGGGGGTGTAGGTGCACCTCATGATAGCAAACCAGGAGCCCTGATGGAGCAGCTGCAGAGAAAAGCTAGCCCAGCATCCAGTTGGGATGGAGAGGGATACCCAAAATCCTTCTGGGAGCAGGGCTGGGTCCTGCCCAGTAGAAGGACTAGAAGGAACCTCTGTGTCTTGTCAGGCCTCAGGACCTTGCTGTATGGCAGAAGGCCATGTTGGAGGGTGCCAGCAGGGACACTGTGTGGAAACCTCCTCTCTTCCACACATGCCTTTCAAAAGCAAGTTCTAGAGAAGGGATAGGGCCAGCAGATGTACAAGCCATGCTGGCCCTGCCTGTTCCATTCTTCTTTGCAGTCTCTCTC